TTTTTTTTTTTACATTTTAAGCATTTTTTACTACCAGTTCTCCGAAACCGGTAGTAAAAAATGCTTTAAAAAAGATTTTAAAAAGATTCCGATGATCACAGCTGTGGCGCACGAGCTTGGGAACCTTTTTAAAAAGTTTTGTAAAGCATTTTTTTACCACCGGTTCTTCAGATGACGGCAGTACTTCCCATTTCTTCATGGGCTATCAGAAGATGCCACAGACATATTCATGCAGGAAACAAGAGGCAAATTCATCATGACAAACACAGGTTTACCCAAAATTGCCACAGAGGGCAGCATCTTGCTGACTTTGACTGATTTCCAAAAAGGCGACAGGTTAGACCAGCTTCATAATTTGAAAAGGGATCACCAGGAGAAGAACTCAGGGATTCAGATCAGACGAGAAACTTGAAAAAACATCTCAGAAGAAGAGATTTCATGTTCCAAAATATTGCCAGGTTTCAAACTATTGCCAAGGAAACTGCACAGACGGACCATGAAATCATCAAGAGTCAAACTCAGTATCTTTATTTGAAGACCAAGAAAAAAGGCATGCCGACAGAAGAGGATATTTGCAACTCAGGGTTGAAATGAGGTGTCCTTGGTACTCTCTGAGTTTGGTGGTTGTTCTTGCAAACAACCATTTTATTACCAAACTAGGTAACATCATCAGTGCTAGTAATGAAATCTCTGCAAAAAAAAAAACCCAACCCATCTCAGAGAGCACCAAGGACATGGTTATTGTGAGGTATCCAAGATACCTTATGTAGATTGTAGGAAAAGTATTGTCTAGCTCAGTGATGGCGAACCTATGGCACGCGTGCCACAGGTGGCACGCATAGCCATATCAGTGGGCATGGCAGCTCAGCTCTAGTGCGCATGCGCGCACTGGCCAACTGTTTTTCGGGTCTTCTGGAGGCTCTGGAGGCTAGAGACAGCAAAAAACATCACTTCCTGTCTCACCGGGAGTTGGGAAATGGGCCGTTTCAGGCCTCCATAGGGCCTCCGAGGAAGTGGGGAAGCTGTTTTCGCCCTCCCCAGATGCATAGAGAGGATCTGGAGCCAGGTATGAAAGAAAAACGGGCCTACCAGGCCATTGCGAGCCAGGAGCAGGGGGGAGGGGGGTTGCGCGTGCATGCGCAGGATGGGGCACATAAAATTACGCATGCATGCGAACCTCCCCCGTCCCCCCCCTTTCCTGGCACGCGATGGCAAAAAGGTTAGCCATCACTGGTCTAGCTGAATAAATACCATGTTTCCCCAAAAATAAGACCCTGTCTAATATTTTTTTTTTTAACCCTGAAATAAACACTTGGCCTTATTGCCATGCACTCAAAAGCCAGATTCGGCTTATTATCAGGGGATGTCTTATTTGGGGGAAACAGGGTATATAAAGAATGCAACACATTGAAGGGGGACAAAAGAAAACAATGGTTAAATTAGGTGGAGGAATACGGAAACAAATGGGAAGATATAAATTGTGGAAAGGAAACTAGGTGCCTGTTTATGTTAAATGTAAATAAAATATTTAGATTAAGAGAATATATTAAAACGGTATATATATATATGATATACTAGAAATATATGTAAAAAAGATATATTAAGATAAGAAAGAGAAAATGTATAAATATGAATTACTGATGCGAAGATGTTGAAAAAGAGATGTAAATATCTGTTTTTGTTTTTTGTTTGTTTGTTTGTTTGTTTTTAAAAACTGTTTAATAAAAATTATATTTTTAAAAAGAGAATGCAACACATTGGCCATGAACTTGTCTTGTCTTCCCTTGTCTGATCTTCCTTTATTATTCAATTTTTATTCCACTTTTATTTTTGGTCAACAAAAAGTGGCATGTACACCTTAATTTTTTTGCTTAGATTTCATGTTTAAAAGTTCCTCTTTTTAAATGACAATACCTGGGGGTATAATCAGGGCCACGTTTTCTGATTATGTTAACACCTACGGATTGTTATTTTCTTGGCTGCTGTATATACTTAATTTTCTTTTCTGTTTGTCTTTGTAATTTGGTTTTAATTGACTGTCTGATTCTCCGTTGCCTAGAGTCATTTGTTTGAGATGGACGCCCAAATAAATCAAATAAATACATACATTTAAAATGTACGCGGGCACCATCACTTGATGGACCACGTAAGAAAACAAGTCTTTCGACTGTAGTATGAATGTGGAATTTTCTTCTGCTGATTAAAACTGGGTTTTGCTTCATTCCTGATGTTTCCTTGAATAAAGCCAGAAAACGGCGCTCTATGTTTCTCATCAGAATGATGGCAATTTGGCCACAGATCATGTGAGTGAGAAATGTGACACAACTCCTTCAAATGTCTAAAGACTGTCAGGAAGAATTATTTATTTGCTACCCTTCGGTCATAATAACGTTTGCGACTGATTTGATGAGAGACAATTATTTGTCCTCTGCTACTTCCAAAGGACTTCAGTTGCATCAGGGTTTGTTTGGGCTGAATATCACAAGAAACTTTTTCATAGGAAAAGAAAAAAAGCAGCTCAAAAAAGAACAATTCCTTGGAGAAACGGTGGGTTATCTTTCACTGGAGTTTCAAGGAAAAACTAGCTCAGCCTTTTCCTGACTTAGGTAGCGTCCAAGCCAGGAGTTGAATCCAGCAGGTTCTGACAGGTTCTGGAGAACCAGTAGCGGAAAATTTGAGCAGTTCAGAGAACCGGCAAATACCACCTCTGGCTGGCCCCAGAGTTGGAGGGGGGAATGGAGAATTTGCAATATCCTTCCCTCAGGAGTGGGGTAGGAGTGGAGATTTTGCAATATCCTTCCCCTGGAGTTGGGTGGGAATGGAATTTTGCAGTATCCTTCTCGTGCCATGCCCACACCACGCCCACCAAGCCATGCCCACAGAACCAATAGTAAAAAATTTTTGATTTCACCACTGGTCCAAGCAGATTAATTTCAGCTTCTAAAAGGACTATACTTGTTCAAAATCCTGAGGAATACCATAGGGTGCCTAGTCTTCAGCTCATATAGGTAGTCCTCAACTTACAATCACAATTGAACCGAAATTCCTGTTGCTAAGCAAGACGGCTGTTAAGTGAGTCTTGTCCTATTTTACAATCTTTCTTGCCGCTGCTAAGTGAATCGCTGAAATTGAGTTAGTAACATGGCTGTTAAGTGAATCTGGCTTCCCCATCAACTTCGCAAAAGATGATCCCATGACTTCAGGACACTGGTCGTTAAATGTGAAAAATGGCTGTAAGACACTTCTTCCAGCGCTGTTGTAACTTTGAACGGTCCCTAAATGAATGGTTGTAAGTCGAGCACTATCTGTATACTGGGTTCCCTGCACCAAACTGTGGGTGAAAAGTTTCACTCGTCAACTCTGTCCTGATCAACATTGAACAACGTCATAGGATCTATGGTTAGCCTTTCTGTTGCCACATCTCTGTGCTTTGAGGAGGATTGTCTATTTCTGTATCTGTTTATTCCAGGTGTCTATAAAGGTGTATTTACAGGTATTCCTTGACTTACAGCCACAACTGAGGCCAGAATTTCCATTGCTAACCACTGCAGTTGTTAAGTGAGTCACACCCAAGTTTGCAACCTTTTTTGCCGCTATTATTCGATGAAACACTGTAGTTATTAAGTGAATAGCAATAGCACATAGTCTTATATACTGCTTCACAGTGCTCCACAGTCCTCTCTAGGTGGGTTACAGAGTCAGCCTCTTGCCCCCAACAATCCAGGTCCTCATTTTACCAACCTCAGAAGGATGGAAGGCTGAGTCAACCTTGAGCCAGTCAGGATCGAACTCCCTGAGTGAGCGGTGAGTTAGCCTGCAGTACTGCGTTCTAACCATTGCACCACCACGGCTCTATGTCACGTGGTGGTTAAGCAAATCCAGTTTCCCACATTGACTTTTGCTTTCGGAAGCTGACTAGGAAGGTTGCAAGTGGCCATTGCATGACCCCGGGATGCTGCAACCATTGTAATTACATTCGGGTTGCCAAGCACCTGGATTTTGATCACGTTACCATAGGGATTCTGCAGGCGGCCATAAACATGACAACTGGTTGTAGGTCAGGAGTCCCCAACCCCCCGATCTGTGAACCTGCAGCAGTCACGGCATGCGAAAAACAGGGCTGCACAAACAAGCAAAGCACATCCATGGGATGCAGGCAACACACAAAAACATGCCCCCTCCAGTCCATGGAAAAACCTCTTGTTGTGGCCTGTCGGCCGCCGGCCCCACCAGCAGTCGAATCAGAGGAGGAGGAGTGGGAGTCAGGGTCAGTATCAGGGCAACCTGAGAGCTCCGAGGGGAAAGAGGGAATGGAGCTGGCAGAGAGAGAGAGACAGAGGTGGAGCCTGGGCTGTCTATCAGCCCTCAGATGGAGAGTCAACAGCCCCCAGGTATGGAGGCTAATGAGGAAGAGGAGGAACAGGTGGGTCCAGTGCCTGATGCGTGGATGTGCAGAAGGCAAAGGAGAGGAGAGCAGTGGAAAACTGTGGGCTGATCCTTGGGAAGGAAGAGCCACCACTGCTAGCGAAGCCCCACCCTATCTCTGGGGATAAAAGGCAGGGGGCGGAGATGAATAGGTATGGCAGACAACCATTCATCTTCTGGCCAGAGGGACTTGTTAGCCTGCGAGAAAAACTTTTTGCCAGGGCTACCGGCATTCCTAATAAAGGAATCTTTTGAGTTCATGTCAGAGAGTTTCTCGTGTTTGGGGAGCTGAGTCAGAATACCCCTCTCTGTAGAACCAGTCCCTGGTGCCCAAAAGATTGAGGGCCACTGTTGTAAGTCACTTTTTTTCAGTGCCATTGTCACTTTGAACGGTTGCTGGACAAATGGTTGTTAAATCAAGGACTATCTGTATTTCAGTTCCGCCTTGCAAGTGTTACCTTGTCGACCTTGCGCTGAACATTCCCATGGTTGTGATTCCGTTGCTCTTCAAGAAGCGCGTTAAGTTGTCTTCAAGTCTCAACATCTGTCCTTTTCTCTTCTCTTTTGTGTCGCAGTTCCAATGGGAAATCGGTCACGTGGGCCCAGAATGAAAAAAGTTCGAGCCGAGGAGCCCATCTCTGGCAGAGGCTTTCCGTCCACATCAATAAGAAAGACAACCCCAACCAAACCGCGGTGATCAAACCCTTCTCTAAAAGCACAGACAGCAGCCGGCACAGCAGTAGCACCACAATCACAACCACCTTCCCCGAATCCGGTGCCAAAACCCTTTATGATGTCTCCGAAGCTGAAGAACACTACCCGGTTCAGTACCGCATTCAAACTCCGTCCCCCATCAGTACGGTCAGCCAGAGGACTGCTTCCCTCAGCCGGACCGAAGACGATGCCCCGACTTTCCAGTCGGAACAAGCCCAACGGAGCAGTTCCTCCCAAGGTTCCCTGATGGAGCAGATCAGCAGCGTGGTGACTCGGTTCACGGCGAACATCAGTGAGCTCAACTCCATGATGCTCTCCACCCCCACGCCAGGCCCGATGGTCACCACCCCGTTGTGCTCTACCTACCTGATCCCGAGGGAGATCCAGCTGCCCACCACCATGACCACGTTTGCGGAGATCCAGCCCCTCCCTGCCATTGAGGTGAATGGAGCATCTCAGTCCACCAGGAAACCATCTTGCGGAAGCGTCAAGGAAGGCCCTTCCGCAGAAACTCCAGCCCCTGCCAAGCCCGAGCTTGAAGAGTTGGTGGCTTTGACGCCTCCTTCTCCATTCAGGGACTCTGTTGATTCTGGAAGTGCTTCTCCCAGTTCTCCGGCATCGGAATCCGCTCTCTGTATCCCGTCTTCGCCAAAATATGACTCGCTGATGATAAAGGATTACACGCAGAGTTCTTCTTCCTTGTGAATGTAGTAGAAGTCAACCTTGAGTCTCTACAGCTTCGGCTCCATCAAGGAGGCGAAGAAGCCCAGCCTCCCTGTTCTCTAGTGTTTACAGACACAACGAGAGTAATGGGTTGTTTTTTTTGGGGGGGGAGGATGAAAAGACGCAAGGGAATAGAGAATAAAAACAACGGATGGGTTACGCTCTTTTAAACGTACACGCACACATACATGCACACACGCCTACATACACGATGAAACTTTTTCTCGCAGATTTTTCGTGGCCTTAAAAACACGGGCTTTTCAATGGAAAAACACACACGCACACACACACAAAAAACATTTGAATTTATTCCTGAGGGCTGAGAGGGCGTCTCTTACATCACTTACTTGTCAAGTGCTTTGCAACAGTGAGTATAACGGGGAACTGGCGGTGGAGGGGGGGAAAGAAACAGCAGGCAGACAACGAGAAGCGATCCAGTGTTTTGTTTACTTGGATTCCTTCATCCAAGAAGTAAACCTTGATTATTATTTTTTTTTCCAAGACACGGAAGACCAAAATCTTGAATGTACATTTTGTAGTGAACTCCAGACCGGGGACCAAAAGATCCAGCGACTTTCTTTCTTTTTTCTTTCCTTTCAATTGAAAGTGTTTTTTGTTTTTTAAGTGAAGATCTCAACCGATCTTAGACTTGGTCACAACGGAACATTGTTGACTAACTTGGCAGCGCGCTGCCCGTTGACAAATGTAAGTTAACACAATGCAGCACACGGCTGCACTCAAAGAGGGCTTTTCTAGAATAACTTCCCATCCAAGGATATGTTTTAAGAGAGAGAGGTTGGGTGGGGGGAAATCTCTCTTCAGTTAAGTATCAATTCTTTCCCCCTTTATTATCGTGGGATTCATCTCCAGAACGACAGCATTCTGGGAGGAATTTTTCCTTACTGTTTCACCGTGTTGCCGATCAATAACAAAGTAGCAAAAAAAAGAGAGAGAGAGAAAATCACAAAATAATAATAATAATATAGTAATAGTATTTTCTGGAGTACTGTTTTGTAATTCCCTGATCAGGACATGACGTTGAGCTGAATATTCACTTTCTATACTGATGTGGTGGAGCGTAAGGGTTGCTACTTACGGTATGTTCCCGAGGAAAATGCATATTTTTACAGATGTTCTTGCATTAACCTTGCCCGACAACAAGGATAAAAAGTCTTTTAGTCATAAAGAGGAGAATAACCGTCTCTAACAGTCGGAGACAGGCCTTCTCTAAAGGGGTGGAAAGGGTGTGTTAAAGGGTGGGTGGGGCAGTTCCCAGGATTACTTCTGATTGGGAGACGAGAGTGCCAGTCAGCCTTCTGTCCATCATCATCTTCATTTAACGACCCCATAATCCCTTGCAAGGTGGAGTCTGGGCAACTGAATGGAGCTAGCAGAGTGTTTTAATGGCCAGATGCTCTTCCTGTGGCCAATGTGGCGTTTTGTGTAGCAATTATATTCTCAGTTTGCCCAGAGCGAGAAATATCTGCCTCTACCTAAGATTGAACTCACAGCCTCCCGATTGTGAGGTGAGAGTTCCACCTATAGGCCACCGCACCTCTCCTAGTCAGCCTTCTGTCCATCGGCAGAAGAAATTGCAATATAAGAACCTCAGTGTTGTGGGCCAATGAGGTAACCGTAGTTTTTCACAGAGTTTTTAAAACTTTATTAGGGACCATTCTCTTCCCCCACAATATCTCTACCATCACCCCAACATTTAAAGCCAACTTTTTCAGGATGTTCCAACAGGCAATTAGGCTCGCGATCCAGCTTTTTCAGGCTCACTATCCTTTCTGGTCCTTGTCGATTTAGACCTTCACAATAATCCCCAAAGTCAGGGAATCACCCAATAATGTCCATCATTAACGTTATAGGCTGCTGTTGTTAATTTAGTGAAAGTAGCTTGATTGCAGTGAACAGCCTTCATATGGTCCAGATTTGGGAGAGAAGGTCATTGAGCTGCTAAATTAGACCCGGTTTGAGCCTTCAGCTGAATAAGTAGAATTTCAATATCAGCAAGAAACCTGCTCTGTCCTGCCTTTAAATGAAACTAAAACCATTCTCCTGCATTTTCCGTTTATATCAAACTTGGCAACTTTAAGACTGGGCAACTTCAACTCCCAGAATTCACCAGGAAGCATGGCTGGCTGGGGAATTCTGGGAATCGAAGTCCACCAGTCTTAAAGTTGCCAATTTTTTGAGACTCCTCCTTTATACCATCTAAACATAGGGAGCACAGCGCCATCTAAACCGTTTGGCCTACAGATAGTCCTCTACTTATGACCAGAATTGGGACTGGACTATCTGTTGTATGTCATTGGAGTCATAAATCCAAGTGGTACCTGATTATAAGACAATGTTTATCGCAGTCATTAGATCAATCATGGCAGTAATTAAACGAATCACATGGCCGTTAACATGAATTCACGTGAATCCAGCTTCCCCCTTGCCAGAATTCAACAAAAATGGTGGCAAGTCTCATTCCCATGACCACAGGATGATGCCATCAGTCATAAATGTGAGTCGCCAAGTGTCTAAATTCTGGTCATGTGACCACAAAGATGTGGTGATGGTTGTAAGCGTGAACATAGGACATAAATTACTCATTCCAGGGCCATCGTAACCTTGAACCGTCGTTAAAAGAAACAGTTGTAAACAGTTGTATTTCTATATTGCTACAGTTGTACCTTGGCACAGATTGCGCAAGGGTTCCAATGAGGTGTAAAATATCTATTGAGATAGGTAAGCATTGCTAAATTATAGGCAATCTTTGACTTACAACCACAATTGAGCCCAAAATTTCTGTTGCTAAGTGAGACATCTGTTAAAGTGAGTTATACCCCATTTTACAACTTTTCTTGCCACGGTCGTTAAATGAATCTGGATTTCCCCATAGATGTTGCTTGTCAGAAGGCCGCAAAAGGAGATCACATGACCACTGCAACCGTCATAAATATGAGCCACTTGCCAAGCAGTCTGATCACATGACCGTGGGGATGTTGGAATGGCTGTAGGTATGCAAAACGGTCGTAAGTCACTTTTTTCAGTGACGTGGTAACTTCGAACGGTCACTAAATGAATTGTGGTAAGTCGAGGACTACCTGTACCATTTCCAACATTTCTTACAACTGGAAATGCTTCCTAACTATCCCTGCAAGACACAGGGTGTGATCCCTGGCCTAAATGGTTTTGTTTGCTTATATGCTGGTTCCCTTTTGCAGTTGTTATGGGGAGATAACATGTATGCTAAACTCCTGTTCCCCTTTACATTTAGAACCTATGAATAAATAATGCGTAAGGAGGTCTCTCAACAATCCCTGTTTTCCTAAGCCGAGCAGACAGATCCATCATCAGATTCCTGGCAGGAACTTTTCAACATCTGCGAGCCCTAAGCAACTGCCCATCACTGCTAGCTTCTAGTGCCAGCTGTGCTCAGACCCAACATAAAATAATCCTCACAATTGTTGCCTCTGGCACCAGAAGAAGAGCTCGGCAATTTATACATTCTACAGAGAAATTACAAATATTTTTTTTAAGAAAAAATCATGGACTAAACAGATGTCCTGAGTTACAGAGATAATGTTGTGGCCCGCCAGCGGCCAGCAGAGCTGGCGGCAAACTCAGACAGTGAGGAGGTTGGGGAGCAACATGGGCCAGTCCTGGAGTCTGGGGAAGGCTCTGATGAGGGCTCTGCGTCGGAGGCAGAGATGGGGCCAGGGCCGTCCGACAGTTATTAGCTACCTTCGGAGTCAGAGATAAGTGGGGCTGAAGAATAGCTGGAGCTTGTTTCCGATGTGTGCATGCGCAGGGCTTCCAGGAGAAGGGAACAGTTAAGGAACAAGGGCCGACTCAGGAGTAAAGGCACAAGTGGATGGTGAATGGCCCCTCCCATAGGGAATAAAGAAGAGCGAAAGGGGAGTAGAGTTTGCAGGAGACAATTAGTTCATTTAATTAGTGTGAAGATCTGTTCGTGACTCTCAGAGACTAAGCATTTTCTTGTACAGCATTGCGTTTGGAAGATATCGGCCTGGCAGCTATCCAAGCCTGATAAGGTCTGTGGTTGTAAATCCATCCTTGAAAGACTGTTTGCCGGGAGTTTGCTGGATGTGAATGAGAGGAATTCACATTAGCTTAATAAAAAGGGGTTTTGTCGGGACAAGGAGTCTACTTCGTGCTTTTGTGAAGTCTAGGTCAGAACAGATAGGCAGATGCATAAATTTGGAAGGACTTCTTGAGTGGCAACAACACTAAAACACGAACTTGTGTTCCCCAGCTTGGCGACGATCAGAGGACATTTAGAGCGATCATATTAAAGATTTTTAATATTCTATCTTCTAGAAGTCATCCTGACTTCAGCTCTTGTGGCTTCATCAGCCTCTCCCTCCAGCAATTCGAGTTTTGAATTGATATTTATTTTCGTCGAACGAAAAATTACAAATTCGAACGAACAAAATGGGGGGGGAACGTAAAATGTGACAGGGGCGATAGGCGCGTTACAAAAATCAATATTTTTTACAATCAAGTTTAAGGCAGCTTACATGAAGTTTAAAGCGGTTGTTCGCATGCATTACATTACAATTAAAACTTTTTTTAAAAAATCATTTACAGCTAGGACATTACTATGGACAACTTTGTATGCAATACCTAAATCTGTCCGCAAATGTCAACAGTTCTAAACTATCCAAACCAAGAATTTCAAGTCTAGTTGCATAAGGTATTCTATTCTGGACAATTATGGATTATTTTAGTCATTATTAATTAGGTCTCCATAGTTTCAATAGTTTTACTTTTAAGTATAACTGAGGCTGTAGTCTTATACCTATTTATTCTGAATACGCTGCAATCAATGGAGCTTAATCACTAAGCAAATACACATAGAATTGCACTAAAACCCTCGATCCGACCTTCTATTTTGAGGAATCTTTTAATCACCTTTAAAGGATATCCCTCTTATATAAGATATTTTGAAGATCATGCATATTTCATGCATAAGAATATAAGTAGTCCTTGACTTGCCACCACAATTGAGCCCCAAATTTCTGTTGTCACATTTGTTAAGTGAGTTTTGCCCTCATTTTACGATCTTGCTTTCCACAGTTGTTAAATGAATCACTACGGATGTTAAGTTTGTGACACGGTTGTGAAGTGAATCTGGCTTCCCCATTGACTTCGCTTGTCAGAAGGTCACAAAAGGGGATCATGTGACACCCCCTCCCCCCCGGCCTCTGCAACCATCATAAATAAGAGTCAGTTGCCAGGTGTCTGAATTTTGATCACCTGACCATGGGGAAGCTGCAACATGAAGTGTGAAAAACGGACATAAGCAGAGGTGGGTTGCTGCCAGTTCGCACTGGTTCAGACGAACTGGTAGTTAAGATTCCGTGCAGTTTGACAAACCAGCAAATCCCACCACTGGCTGGCCCCACCCCTGCTCATTTTTTGGCCAGTTTTCTAGGCTGTTTTTTGGGCAAAACGGCCTGAAAACAATCCAAGAAATGGCCTGAAAACAGGCCAAGAAAGGCCCAAAAAACGGGTAGGGCCAGCCAATGGTGGGATTAGCCCTAACCGGATGAATCCTACCTCTGCCTTTGAAGCAAGTGGCTGGGCGGCGGGGCTGGGTGTAATGAGTGATGTCACCCACTCATTCACATAACCAACCAGACACGCCTAACAGCCAGAGAACCGGTTGTTAAGGTATTCAAGTCACCACTGGTCACGCCCCCTGGCCATGCACACCCCAGTCACGCCCACCCTGGTCACACCCACCCAACCGGTCATTAGGGCAGGGAACCGGTTGTTAAATTATTTGCAGCCCATCACTGGTCATAAGTTACTTTTTTCGGTACCGTCGTAACTTTGAACGGTCACTAAATGAACTATTGTAAATTCAGAACTACCCGTAGTAGTCTGGATTAACCCTGGGACTAATTACAACTAATAGCTTGTGGCCGTTGATCTAAAAGTATGGATTTGTTGTCTAGTCAGAAATACCACGCAGACAATGGCTTATTGTGTGCAACTCCTGCTTTGAAGTAACAAAGTTGTTTCCCAGATATGTAGATTTCCCATCTTTTTAGTTGTTCAACACTTAATGTATCTCATCCTGGAATCCATTAACTGGCCTCTGATAAACATTGTCTTTGAAGAGTTGTTAGGTTCTAACTGGGCCTTTGATGTTTGACTTGCTCTACCATGTAGCAAAGCAGCCTTTTAAATTCATTTCCCTCAAGTGCTCAGATAAATTCAGAGTCATCCTGAAAAAAAATCCATGCATTTGACCAGAAACAATGTTAAGTCTCTTAAGGCGCTTAGAACTCTTGCATCCGTGAGAGCTAATTCATGCTTTCAGCAAAATGCATAAATAGCCCGCCATTCTTTCGGAATGTAATGCAATGTGAAGGAAACAATTGCAAAGAGGCAGTTAATACAGAGCTACCAATAGAAGAGAATATTTGCAGCTCAGGGTTGAACTGTGGAATCCTTGGTGCTCTCTGAGCTTGGCTGTTTTCTTGCAGATGTTTCATTGCCCAACTGAGGGACGTTTTCAGTGCTAGAAGGGAGTGTGGGACTTGCTTTCTGACTTGCTTTCATTACCCTAGTTGGGTAATGAAACAGCTGCCAGAAGACAACCAAGCTTAGACAGCACCAGGGACCCCATAATACAGAGCTAGATGGAAGCAAAAAACCCTTGCTCTTTGTGGCTATCCACATGATCATCCAGATTTTTGCAACCCACCTAATAAGGTAGAACGATGGCCAATAATCAGTGGTGGGCTGCAACCGGTTTAATAACCGGTTCGGTGAGTGTGCGCTTCGCTTGCGCACTTCACTAAAATTGGAGGTTTTTAAAACTCAGCTGCTTACCTTCTAAGTCAGGCCCAGTAAGTAGAACAGCTGAGGCACGGAAATCAGCTGTAATGCGCGATTCAGATAAGCTAGAAATAAGGAAGTAAAGGATAGGGCCGGGGTCGGTGCCAGCTGATTGTCGGAATGACCGGTTCGCCTGAAATGGTTCGAACCGGCTGAATCCCACCCCTGCTAATAATATTTCAGAACTATGCTGGACTTATCATTATCTGGGCTGTGGGGGGAGGATCCAGTTAACAGAGCAAAGAATCTTTGCTCCTTACTTACATTAATGCAGTCAAATAGAGTAAACCTAAGCAGTGTAGAAGAATCACACTTGAATAAACTTCTTCAAGAGAAATAAAATCCTGCGAGATAGCATATTAAGGAGAAATGCTTCAACCCATTCTGCTGTTTCATTGCTGATTTTTTTTTTTCTTTCTTCCTAACCGGAAGCCCCCCGTTCAATTCTGGAGCTGACCAGAAGTCAGGTTCCCTCACCATAGAGTCTCCTCCTAGCGTGGTGTCCTTTTTCCTCTGCCTGTCCTAACCAAAAGCCCTATGAATTGCGGAGCTGACCAGCGATGGGGAGCCGCAGCAGAGGGATGAAAGAGCCACATGCGGCTCCAGAGCCACAGGTTGCCGACCCCTGTGCTATGGAAACCTTGGTGTGATTGATCTGAAGCACGTCTAACATGAGATAGGGAAGAGAGAGGACTCTTTGCAATGGGACTGCAGATTTGTGAAGGATGAGGCTATCAATAGTTATTGCTCACACTGGCTAATGCTATGTCCAGATTTGGAGGCAATTTCTGAAAGAGATATTTCTCCTTACTTCTGCTTGCAGGAGAAAGAGATTTTGGACTAGACATGTCTCTGGCTTGATCTGTTGTGGTCTGCCAGCAGCCTGCAGAGCTGGCAGTGGAATCAGACAATGAGGAGGCTGGGGAGGAACATGGGCGACTGTGGCAGCGGAGTCAGACAGTGAGGAATCTGGGGAAGGCCCGGACCAGGGGTCTGTGTCAGAGGCAGAGATGGGGCCAGGGCCATCTGGGAGTGATGCACGGACTCCGGAGCCCCCAATGTTGGACAGCAGAGAGGCAGAGGAACAGGAGGAGCCTGTTCCTAGTGCATGCACACGCAGAGCTGCCAGAAGGCAAGAGCAGCTAAAACAAAAGGGACAACTTGGGAGATGATTGGCCCCTCCCATAAGGTTTAAAAGAGAAACAAAGGCACTTTGGGCCTTTTGCAGGAAAGCAACATTGCTAACTCTGTTTCCAGTCGGCGTCTCTTGTTTGTTTCTGAACTTCGTGGGGCTTTGTCAAATAAGGCCTTTGGCAGGGTGTCAAAGAAGATAAAGGTTGGTGATTATCCTGAAGGACTTCTTCCGAAGGACTTGTTTTGCAACTAATTGGGACTCAGCTGGGAATGAACGTAATTCTCAGCTGTTGCAATAAAATAGGTATGTTTGGGACTAATTGTGTATTGTAATGACTCAGTAAGCCTAGGTCACAACATGATCAAATAATAATGATCTTACATTAGGGAACAAAACAGTTACGAGTATGTTAGGAGTATGTTAATAACTCCAGATTGTAAGGTGAAAATGAAATATCCATCAAGGCAAATTTGAACCTAGAGGACATCATAGTCATGTAGACTTTGTCAGCAATAACATAGAAGTGTTCTATGTTCTGGCTGGTGCTTTGGTGGTGTCTTGTGATATTTTTTTTAAAAAAAGAACTGCAATGTATTTATATATTCAAAAATCTTTTTTTTTTTTGAATCAGTGAACACTTTGCTGTAACAATTCTTCTAATTTTTGATGGAGTCAGTGCGATGCATTCCTGCAACACACAAGCTTTTCTAGAATGTTGCAGAACCCTTGAATTCTAAGCAGAAATGATTACGCCGTATCAAAAAAAGGGGGGAGGGGATATCTAGCCATGATATCAGAAGTAACCTGATTACAAGGAATTATAATTATGGAAGGATATACTCACTCAGTTTCTTTGATAACACTGCCTGAGTTTCTCCAGTCTTTCCTTTTCTGATAAGACCACCCAAGTCTGTTACTCTATAAATTACAGGCATAGTTGAATATGTTTCTATAACTGCTTTTGTATAACTCAGATAGTTAGCTATTGAATTAACCCATTAGAGCCACGGTGACACAGTGGTTAGAGTGCAGTACTGCAGGCTACTTCTGCTGACTGCCGGTTGACTGCAATTTGGCAGTTCAAATCTCACCAGGCTCAAGGTTGACTCAGCCTTCCATCCTTCTAAGGCGGGTAAAACGAGGACCCAAATTGTTGGGGGCAATCGGCTGACTCTGTAAACCGCTTAGAGAGGGCTGGAAAGGAATGTGAAGCGGTATATAAGTCTTAAGTGCTATTGCTATTGCTATTATTTCCAAAATACACTGAGCTAGAAAATAACTATACAGGCAGTTCCAGACCAGGTATTAAATCAGACTTATTATGTTGTGGGAATGCAGCATCTGCTAGCTTCAGATCTATATGAATAATGTATAATGTGCTATATGAGCAGGACCTACTTATATAAACACATCGTAACTCAGTTCCTGTGACTTTGTCTGTGACTATGAAGATAAAGTCTCCTTCAAAGGGAGGTGAGGTCCAGATGACTTCATGGATATAGTTTTCTTGATAACAAAATGGAACTGGTTTATTACTGTTTTGTTGTTCAGGATGTTCTTCCCATTTCTCAGTGTAGTCTTCAGTCCTGAGCTTTCCTAATAGACACTCATCCAACTCCAAATCAGTTTTAGCTCTACTTAGCTTTCCAAGATCTTCCAAGGTCAGTTGGAGGTTACCTCTTAGTTGTGTGATTGGTGAAGACATGAATGCAAAGCCAGAGTTGGGCAGATGAAAAGAGGTGTTCCAACACTGGAGGTATTTCAGACCACCATATTTTTCGGAATATAAGACGCTCCGGACTGTAAGACATATCTACCTTTTTTGGTGAGGAAAACAAGAAAAAGAAATCTGCCTCTGCCTCCCAGCAATTTTGCCTCGTTGCAGCAAACAGCAAATAGCCTGCTTTACTTTCATTTTCGTTTTCAGCATAGCTTGATTAGCACAAGAAAAAAAAACTGCTTCCAAGGTCCTTTCCAACCAGCGGTGAAATCCAGCTGGATCTATCCGGCTCGCACAAACCAGTAGCGCCGGCAGCGGGAGGCTCCGCCCACCCACCGGGATGTCATTACGTCCCATTTTTGACCCTCTGTGCAGGTGCAGAAGAGGCGTGGCGAGCATAGCGAGCTCATACATGCTCCCATTCCCGAACCGGTAGCGAAGGTAAGTGGATTTCACCGCTGCTTCCAACTCTGTTATCCTTTTAATGGATAGTGGAAATCTGGGTTACAATTAAAAGATAGCAAAACTTCCATTTCCACATTCATTCCAATGCTGATACAGTTCAGTCTGCTGGGGATTTTTGATGGCTACCTCCAATATTTGTGGTCTTTATCGTCTCAGTTCAGGCGTTTTGTTTGCCTGTTCGTGGGATTACCAGCTCCCAAGCGTTCTTCAATCTTGCTTATCAGGTGACATTAGTAAGGCCCAGGAGGTAACCTCCAACTGCTAGATTCTCCTTTTGTAATTTCCCAGTGGGAGCCGCTCCTCTCAACAGCAGCAAAAAAGGTTCGAGTCTTAATCTTTGTTCTTGTTTTCCTGATGATAATATCTGCAAAATTATAAACTGGGGGGAAAAAAGCTCTTTGAAGTTCCTGCAGAGAAAAGACTATTCAACCAGAGGCTACAGTTGTCCTTGAAAAGAGAACGTAGAGGTAGGTACAGAGTAGCTTCCAAGTCAAACATAGAATATTTGTGGGAGCTAAGACCTAAATATGCCTTTAGGTCAGGGAACCAAGAATTAAAAGGGCAATCATGAACTATTAATGTCATTGGGAGCTTGGTGGAGTGCATTGGAATATCTTCAGACCTTGACTAGAGCATAGAATTATATTCGCAGTTATGCTCTCCCCCCCCCCCACTTGTTCGATTGCAGTTGGGTTTTCTCTGTAGCTCAGTAGACAAGAGATAAAAATTCTTCCAAGTGTGTTGAGGGTAGTCTCCTTGACTACACCTACAAGGATTAAGCCTAAAATCAATCAGGACTTCTAGAAATAGGTCAGTAAGAGATTCTTACTCCTTATCAGTGGGGTCCTTGGTGCTCGCTGAACTTGTTTGTTTTCTTACAGATGTTTCATTATCCAACTAGGTAACATCTAGCAATGATGGATGTTATCAAACAGGGTAAGGAAACATCTGCAAGAGAACAATTAAGCTAAGAGAGCACCAAGGACCCCACAGTTCAATCCTAAACTAGAAATATTCTCCTCTATTACCGTGTTTCTCCAAAAATAAGACCTTGTTTTTTATTTTTTTGAATCCCGAAATAAGTGCTTGGCCTTATTTTCGGGGAGGTCTTATTATTTTGGGGCGCATGGAGCAAGATGGGGCTCCTCTTGCCGTCTTACCTGATTTCCAGCTCTGTCTCCCTAACCCTAACCAGAGGAAATGGCGGGGACCGGCTGCACATGTGTTTAAATATTTTCGAGGAGGGCTTATTTGGGGGGCGGGCTTATTTTAGCACATGCGTTCAAAAGCCCAATTGGGCTTATTATCAGGGGATGTCTTATTTTCAGGGAAACACAGTAGTTACTTCTATCTGTTTAATTGCAGAAAGAATAATGATAAGTTAAAGGACCAGTGGCGTCTCCTATGGCTCTGTTTAGTCTAATCTCTCTCTCCCATCCTCTCTGCTCCACATCATTATAAATTATGAATCTTCTTTGGTAGCCTTGTACATATTGTTGTGCTACCTAGCTAACCCCAGGGAGAGCTTTAGAGCAGATGGATGATCATTCAGATATGGAGCTTGACCCGATGAAATCAATGGCTCCTGCAATACACTTAGTAGTTAGTGCCACCCTCAGAATATTTATTGCCCTCTATTGATATGGAATAACAACCACCTGAGAATCTTCCAAATCAGCAGAAGAAGCTATAATAATAAAGCAGATAAACGCTTATCATCATAAGTGAAGGAACGGTGGGGAAATTCAAAAAAATAGTTGGCATGAAAAACGAGTCCCAAATTCCATCTAAGTTTGCTTTTCATCCGGCTGAAATGAATTATCCAGCAATCTTAAAACATTTGTTTTATGGAAACATTTGTTTGAACAAAAAAACCGAGCAGGAACAGTGCTATTTCTGTACCATATGCAATAATAACCTGACTTCTTTGACAATCAGGGCACTGTCAAAAAAAAAAATACTTTAATTTGGCTGTCAGCAATAAAGTCTAAACCCACAAGGCAGCTTAAGGACTTCCTGATCTCATGTTATGGGATACGTTTTTTGTTCTGAGGTCTCAATGCAAAAAAAGGGGACAGAAAATCTTGCCGGTTGAAAATCCTCTAGACAGATCAGGAAAAGGAAGAGATCTCTTTTGCAAGAGATCAGGGAATCATGAGGTTAGCCACCCATGTCTAAAGAATAAGCTTTCCAAGGTGGATGGGAAGTTTTGTGTTGAAATGCACTAGGACAGGAGCAGTGGTGGGTTTCAAATTTGTTTACTACCGGTTTTGTGGGTGTGGCTTGGTGGGCGTGGCAGGGGAAGGATACTGTAAAATCTCCATTCCCTCCCCAATCCAGGGGAAGGTTACTGCAAAATCCCCATTTCCTCCCAATCAGCTGGGATTTGGGAGGCAGAGAATAGATGGGGGCGGGGCTAGTCAGAATTTTTACTACCGGTTCTCCAAACTACTCCAAATTTCCACTACCAGTTCTCCAGAACTGGTCAGAACCTGCTGAAACCCACCTCTGGACAAGAATCTCCAACCTTGGCAACTTTAAGACTTGTGGACTTCAACTGCAGAGTTCTGGGAGCTGAAGTCCCCAAGTCTTAAAGTTGCTGAGGTTGGAGACCCCCTACACTAGGAGACACATGGCATCCACGTTTGAATTCTGAATGTAAAATTTTGCAATGGGGATGCATTTGATTCCCTTGGAAAGTTCCATGTTGGCAGGCTCATATTATTGTGCTGCATCAATTTTGACAACAGGACGCTAACAGTTTCCCCTTTCAAATTAATTAAGCATTCAAACTCAAATCTCCTGAGACTTTTGCATGAAACCTTGTCCCTTTTCGGCATAACTGCACAAGATTTTCTGTCATAGCGATATTCCTAGGTGAGTTCTTAGATGCTCTGAGAATGAGATTGCTGAAGTCTTCAGAGATTTTAGCTGTTATACATTTCCTGTACTTTTCTTCCCTTTTTTGGCCACTTGAAGAAAAAAAAAATGTTGATCAAAGTGGCTTGAGTTTGCTTTAGCTGTAATTTAGATATCCAGACACAGTGACTTTATATATAAAACCTGCCATTATGATTTCCACTCTGTGTGAAGTAAGCCACACTGATTTCTTCAACAAACCACAATCCAAACTGGGGATTCGCATAATGTATGAATCACCTGCCATGCCTGAAAAACATTGGGCGTATTCCCAGATTTTTTTTTCCTAACATTTTTTTTTTTGAAAAAAAAAGTATGTTAACTCATATTCAAAAAAAAGACAGTTCTGTCAACTGAAACTTACAGCAATCTACTTCAGCTTCTTGGTCAAAGATTTAATTCAAGACTATAGATGGTGTAGAAGGAAAAGCAACCTAAAACTGTCCCCATATTTTATCTCTCCATTTTTCCCCCTATGGTGGTGGTGATTGGTGATGGTGATGATGATGATAGAAGAGGAGGAGGAGGAGGAGCAGGAGAGGAAGCAAGTAGTTGAAAGCATTAATGCAACTGAAAATAAATTCTCCCTAAAGGTTGCTGAAATACTTGGCAGGTATTTTAGAGAGGAAGATTGCCACGGGACTAAGAAAGACAGGTGAATCTACTCAGGTTGTTCCCCATGTTCTCACCATGGAGTAGATAGAGGAAGAGGATCTCTCTTTCCTCAGCACATTTCTTACACACTTGAACTTGTGAGTTAGGAGTGCTCAACAAGGACATCTCCCACAGAACAAGCCCAGAAGGCACCTCTGGGTTCAACTTAAGCTTCCTGGCTGACAGTTCAGAAATACATCCACCAGCTCTTCTCCAGCTGCAGTATCTATAAAGGGAAACTTCCTAGGCAGCTGAAGGCAATGACTGAATGACTCAACTCTGCTTTGAGGCTAATGCATTTCCTTGTAGCCAAGCTCTTGAAGTCACTTCAGTTTTATACTGTGGGAGGGATGAAAAGAGACAGACAGTAATTTTGTGTCGATCAAAATGAAACCAACCATCCAACAAAACGACACATCAGCGAACGAGACAAAAAAAATCATAACAATAATATATATTATTCATCCTGGTGAGGATTCTGTGTGCATGATCAGAGCTGTTTTGTACCAATAAAGAGAGTGCCACAAATATCCTAGGCAGCACCCACTGCTCCATGCCAACTCCGCTCTGATCAGCCAAATGTGAACAAATATATTATCTAACATTATGTGTACAAATATGATTCAATGGCAGCTGCTGGTGAAATTTCTATCATTAGAGACTCTATATGGGATATAGATATTTTAGAGGGATGGTGCCAATTCTCGACAATATTGTGTGGGCTACAAGTGCTTGTAATTATTTTTAATTTGCAAATCAACTGACAACCATTTGGTTTTTTGGAAAAAAAAAATATGTGAGTGTTTGAATTTGTTTTGGTTTTTTTAAAAAAAAAACACTAAAAAACAAACATCGTGCCGCATTAAAACAATTAAAAACACTAGAGAATGTAAAGTTCTTCTTTTGATGTGAATTGAGATGGATTTTTTCATTAAAAACAAACCTTAACCTTTTTATCAGCTGTTTCTGCTTTCTTACTTGTACAAATAATAATAAACTGATGATGACTATGATGATGAAAATGTAATTTATTAAAAAAAAAACACATTTGCTTGTTTCTTGGTTGCCTACTATATCTTGTTATAGTCGGTGTTAATGTAGAGTCTGATAATTTTTGAACAATATTAAAACAAAAACCTGTGATAAGACTTCAGCTTGGATTATTCATTTATTTTTAATCTTTCTACTTCAAACTTATCTTCTCCTACTGATGGATGATAGCAAGCACACTTTTATTATTTTTTTTCCCCATAATTGCAGCGATAAGAATATTTATTTAGCGTTTCACAGTTCATATTAGGTATCAAAGTGCAACAATTAATCACAGACCAAGGAAAAGAGGGATCAAAGAGGCTGACTGTTATACTACAAATACAAACCTGAGATCTTAACATTTAACTGATATGTGCACTCCTGAGTAAATGTAATCGTGTTTATTTCATTTATTTATATATAAAATTTGGAGATTGCCCATCTCACTCACCAAGCAACTCTGAGAATTTGGAAGTGACCTTCAGATCTACAACCACTGGGATCAATGGTGGGATTCAGCCAGTTCGCACCACTTCGGGAGAATCGGTTGTTAACTTTCTGAGCAGTTTGGTGAACTGGTTGTTGGAAGAGATCATTAGGGCAGAGAACCGGTTGTTAAATTAGTTGAATCCCACCACTGACTGGGATATAAAAGGTATCTCAGCCCACCCAAAGGGGCAGGACGTGGGAAAAATGTCAGAAGGTATTCTCTCTAGTTTGTTTGTTGGTTTTGAAGAATGGTTTCAGGAATTGGGTATGCTAGTTTAATGAAAAGCAAGGACTGGAGTGAGATAATAGCAGTGTCTGAATGTCTAAGGGGCTGCCCCAAAGAAGAAGGGGGAATCAACCTGTTCTCCAAAGCACCTGAAGGCAGAACAAGAAGCAATGGATGGAAACTAGTCAAGGAGAGAAGCAACCTAGAACTGAGGAGAAATTTCCCAACAATGAGAACAGTGGAATGGCTTGCCTTCAGAAGTTATGGGTGCTCCATCATTGGAGGTTCCGAAAAAGAGATTGGACAACCATTTGTCTCAAATGGTAGTATGGGATCCAATCTGGGTCGGTCATTGGGACCAGAGGTTTAATCTTCCAAGCTCTTTTGGACAAGTGCTGGAGCCCATCCTCAGCAGAGGAGGGTTCCACATAATTTTACCACCGGTTCGCCATGGACCGAAAATGTGAGCGCATGCGGCCTTCCATGCATGTGTGCGGCTTTCACGCATGTGCACAGCTGAGAAAATGTGGCTAAATAGGACAGCAGAGCGCTAGGGCGGGTGGGTGGGCAGGTCGCCACTACCGGTTCGCCAAAACCGGTCTGAACCAGCTGAATACCACCACTGATCCTCAGGGAACTTTTCACTCACCAGAACAGCTCAATGGACACATTCTGGAGAATGAGAAATTCCCCAAGGATAGGCTCCAGCATAAGTCCGAAAGCTCGGAAGACTAAACCTCTGGTCCTAATGACTGATCCAGAGTGGATCCTGCAACCTTATCCTGGGACGTGTAGATTCCGCCTTCATTGGTGAAATGGTGTAGTTCAGAGGGTTGGATTAGAAGACCTCCAAGTCCCTTCCAACTCTGTTATTCTGCAGTTCTGAAACTTAAAAGAAAAGGAGATAAGAAATATTTTCAGTCATGTCCATGGAGATTCTCAATCATCCAGGTCATGGTTGTCCCAAAGGTGCTTTTTCAAGAGGCAACTGGATTTTCTGGAGGGGTTTTTTATTTATTTATTTGAAGATGTTTCGGTTCTCATCCAAGAAGCATCTTCTAGATGAGAAGTGAAACATCTTCCAAGAAAAAAACCCAGAAAATCCAGTTGCCTCTTGAAAAAGCACCTTTGAGACCTTCAGTCATGCAAGATTCTGTTACTGTAACCTTACAATAAAGACCAAGCTAATATTCCTGGGTGAGCTTCTTGTCAGGATTACCCTGCAGGGATAAGAGTAGAATAGGGGCCTGGTGGCTCAGCAGACTGATAGCATTGTGATTAACACCAGCTGTCTGCAATTACTGTAAGTTCGAATCTCACCAGGCTCAAGGTTGACTCAGCCTCCCATCCTTTCTAAGGTAGGTAAATTGAGGACCCAGTTTGTTGGGGCAATAAGCTGACTTTGTATAAATATACAAAAGTATGAAGGCTATTGCTTAACGCATTGTAAGCCGCCCTGAGTCTCCGGAGAAGGGCGGCATATAAATCAAATTTTAAAAAAAATATATGCAAGGGACTGTGTTGAAAAATATCTCAAAAGGGTTAAGGAATTGTTTTTATAAGGCTGGCACTGAAATGACATTGAAAGGAAATGCCAGAAACACTTTTCTGGAGGAACATCTCCATAGCTAAATTACCCACCAAAAGAAATATTTTTAGAACATAGAATAATAGAGTTGGAAGGGACCTCGGAGATCTTCTAATCCAACCCTTGCTCAAGCAGAAAACCCAGTATTAATGGTTGTCCATCTCTTTTTTGAAAGCCTCCAATGATTGACCACCCACAATTTCTGAATGCAAGTTGTTCCATTGGTTGATTGCTCTCACCATTAGAAAATTTCTCCTTAGTTCTAGGTTGCTTCTCTCCTTGGTTAGTTTCCATCCATTGCTTCTTGTCTTCCCTTTTGATGCTTTCGAAAATAGTTCGACCATGTCATCTTTGTAGGAAAACAGAATAAGAGAGTTGGAAGGGACCTTGGAGGCCTTTTAATACAACCCCGTTTAGGCAGGAAACCCTACATCACTTCAGACAAATGGTTATCCAACATCTTCTTAAAAGCTTCCAGTGTTGGAGTACTCACAACTTCTGGAGGCAAGTTGTTCCACTGATTAATTGTTCTAACTGTCAGAAAATTTCTCCTTAGTTCTAGGTTGCTTCTCTCCTTGATTAGCTTCCACCCATTGCTTCTTGTCCTGCCTTCAGGTGCCTTGGAGAATAGCTTGACTCCCTCTTCTTTGTGGCAGCCCCTGAGATAGTAGGAACTCCTCAAACATTGGAACACTGCTATCATGTCTCCCTAATTCTTCTTTTCATTAGATTAGACATACCCAATTCCTGTAACCTTTCTTCATATGTTTTTCTCACCTGAAATCCCTAGATCTCTTCAGATTTGATCTCTAAAAGATGTTTTGAAGCGCAGGAGGATGGCTGCTTCAACCTGTTGCAGAAAGAGCATAGTTTAGAGATCAAAGCCAAAAAAACAGACAACCCAAATGGCCATACCACAAATCTCACTTGGGAGAGGAAGGAACTAACATCTAGACCAGGGATCCTCAAACTTGGCAGCTTTAAGACTTGTGGACTTCAACTCCCAGAATTATCCAGCCAAGCATAGCTTAAAGTCTTAAAGCTGCCCAAGTTTGAAGACCTCTGATCTAGACAAACATCTCTGAAGATGAATTTACTGTCTAAGATGGAATCAACAGAGAGAGAAGCTAACCTGGACCTAATCAATTGAGTTGGCTCCTGCCATGAACCAAAAGCCAGGAAAATGTATGAGAAATAGGAAATATTCATAATCATAATCATAAGTTTATTTGTCAAGCATATATAAGATAACAGGTAAAAGTATAAACATAATTTGAATACATGAAAAGAGTAAGAATAGGAATAGAGTAGGAGTAGGAGTAAGAATAGGAATATTAGTACGTGGACAGTAGGCACGCTGGTGCACTTATGCACGTAATCGGACAATTTTCTGAATATTTTCAAAGCTGGCCACATCAATACAACAAAATGTATGTTTAATTACCTCTGCTGGGTTTTTAATTAGAAATTCCTAGTATGATATAAGCAATTAACACTGTTTTCACTTTTTTTTTTCAGGCTATGGAACTTTTAGATAGATGAATGAATGAATGAATGAATGAATGAATGAATGAATGAATGAATGCTCCAAAAATCCCCCAAACCCCTAATCAAGAGGCAAATCTCTAATGATATAAAAAGTGGCTGAGTTGAAATGATTGGGATTTTTTTTGCCTGAACTCTTTTCCAGAGCCCCATCAAGTTCTTAGGGACCCCTGCAGTTCCCACAGAACACAGTCTGAAGAACTAACCTTTTGCTATAAGAAGCAAACGCATGAAATGCATAGCCATCTTCGCACTGTGCTTACTGAGATCCCCACCCCCACCCCCTACCCCCCGAGAAGCTCACCAGCAGGTTACAACAGCAATAGTCCTACTTGGGTGATTAGCACCAGATCAATACACAGCAATAATGGGGCTCGTCTTATGAGGCTCTTTGGTAATAGAGATGAGAAGTTTCTTGAGCATGTATTTGGTTTATTGATCTAATGCCGCACTACAGTTTCATCCACTTCTTTGGAAAATTGCACTTGGGCTAAGAGTGCAATTTGATGGCATAGATAGATAGATAGATAGATAGATAGATAGATAGATAGATAGATAGAGATAGATGATAGAGATAGAGAGATAGAGAGATATAGATAGATAAATAGATGATAGATAGAGATATAGAGAGATATTTATTTATTTATTTATTTATTTTATTTTATTTTATTTTATTTTATTTTATTTTATTTTATTTTATTTTATTTTATTTTATTTTATTTTATTGAATTTATATCCCGCCCTACTCCCAAAGGACTCAGGGTGAACAGCCATAGAATAAAACATATAAATACAAAATTTAAAATAAATAATTTGGCTGATAGATAGATAGATAGATAGATAGATAGATAGATAGATAGATAGATAGATAGATTAGATAGATAGATTAGATAGATAGATGAGAGAGAGAGAGAGAGAGAGAGAGAGAGAGAGAGAGAGAGAGAGAGAGAGAGAGAGAGAGAGAGAGAGATGATGGATGGATGGATGATAGATATAAGCAGGCAGGCAGACTAAGTAAAAAGGTAAAGGTAAAGGTTCCCCTCGCACAATTATGCTAGTCGTTCCTGGCTCTAGGAGGCGGTGCTCATCTCCGTTTCAAAGCCGAAGAGCCAGCGCTGTCCAAAGACGTCTTCTTGGTCATGTGGTCGGCATGACTAAATGCCAAAGGCTCATGGAACGCTGTTACCTTCCCACCAAAGGTGGTCCCTGTTTTTCTACTTGCATTTTTTAACGTGCTTTCGAACTGCTAGGTTGGCAGAAGCTGGGACAAGTA